TTGGAATCTAATCGCAAAAAGATATAATTCTTTCTTCATTTTCATTCAACAAATCGATTGCTTGCTTATTATCTCTTAATGCCGCAGATCTCAAATATTTCAACCCAGATTGCTTATCTTTATTAACACCACATTCTCCATTAAAATAAATTTTGCCCAAATAATAACTAGCTTATCATACTCATTGTCAGCTGTCATATTTAAATAACGCAAAAATTCATTATATTCGTGGTTATCCTTTTGATATAATGAACAAGCATACCAATATTGTGCATCGGCAGCTTCTTTGTAAAGAATATTTGCTCGAGCTATATCTTTTGGAACCGAATAGTCTTGTTCATAATAATATCCCAGCCAAAATTTTGCGAGTGGATCATATTCGGATCAGTTCTCTCACAGATCTATACAGATCAGTAAATATTTTTGATTTTTGTGTTTATTGATTTCTGCATTTTCAGAAAAATATTTAAAAGCATTTTTATAATCATTTTTTTTGTGAAGCTTAAGTCCCTCATCAAACGACATTATAGGCTTTATTTTTATTGATTTGCCAATATCAATTAAAGGCTCATCAGAGGTTGGCGGCATTTTTGATTTTTTTCTTTTCGGATTTTCTAGTTTCATCCAAATCCAAAGTGTTATTGGCCAATAATAGTCCAGGATCACCAGGTGGGATGGAATATTTTTTCGATAAATCATCAAGTTTTATGAATAACTTACAAAAAACAATTCGATAATACGGGTCAGGTTGCCATGCTAAATTAATATTAATAATAAAATAAGTGCCTTATATAGAAAGAATTGTAAATGTCGTGGCTTATGCTGAAATTTAGACCATTTTAATATGAAAATTTAAAACAAAGACCTGAGTTCTAGAATCAGCCAACTTTAGAATCAGTCAATTTCAGCATCAGCGGCGACAATGAATGAGTGCCGCTAAGTGAAAATCTCTGACAGTAATTTTTAGTTTTATCACCTTTTTTAGGCTCAGAATCTATCGATGAGTACAGCCTGAAACGCATGATTCGTGATTAGAGATACAGGCGAAACTTTTTACTCGATCAACAAATTCAGAACATAAAGAAAAGTGGAATCAAATTGATATTACAGGTTTACACTTGGCACCACTGAAATTTTTTAAGTTAAAAAGAACTTTACTATCAATAATAATTTTAATAAATTCCAATAAAATTTCTTTATCAAGAAAATTTCCACATCTGAGCTTCTCGGTTATCTTTAATACATGACTAGATATTTCCACGAAATCCATATTTTCGTAGGGTATCTTTTCGTAGCAAAGTTCCCAAATAAGCATTCCAAAACTATAATTGAATACGAAAAAACAACAAGCTTAATTTTTAATTAAAGATTATCTTGATGACTATTATATATACCTGAAAATTTCGGAATGAATGCTGTAACTTGGACTTTTATCCCTTTTTTCATATTTTTTGATTTGTTCAGGTGCCATCCAATGAATCACAGTATTCAATTGTTCTGAAAGATCCGAAGTAATATTTTCGGTCATCATACGTGCGAATCTAAAGTTTGTAATTTTTGGTTCCAAGTTTTTGTTTATCTGAGAAAATTGAAAATAAACATTTATTATTGTTATATGCCTTAATTTGTGATTTCACCTATTACTTACTAAAATATATTGCATCTAACGTCATGGTGAACGATATTGACTTTATTTAGATATATAAGGCCTCGACAAATATCAAGCACAATTTGTACTTTTCTACGCCATGTAATGTCATATTTTTCGTATAATTCCTTTAGAATTCCATGTTCAGCCCACTCTAAAACAATAACGTCGCAATTATCGATTTTTGAAAGACCATAGAAGATTAAGATATTTTGTTTAATTTCTTAAGGACCATCAATTCATTTTATAAATTTTCAAAATATTCAATTAGTTTACAAGCAACTTCACATGCTTCCTTAGTATTTCT